AAAGTTTATTCTATACATGTATTAGTTGCCTAAAAATATTGCTTCTCACATATGACTACTACTCGATTATAGCTATCTATTTCAATTCTTGATTTGTAATGTAGTTCCGTTCATACATTCTTGACAATCGATAAAATTATGATATATACTTTTCTTTTTCAAGAAAAAATAAATATATTCTAACCACGACCCCAATCTATTCCTAACATCTATTGCACATATGTTAATTTTGCCACGTTTTAAACTTATTGTGAGTTTCTCAATACTAGAACAAACAACTAATTATCCAGTTGCAGTCAATCGATAAAATAATGCAACGGGTATGCAAAATTAATCAAGAAACGCAAGAAATACTAAATTACTAGTCTTGAATTAGAAATAAATAACAAATAGGGTTAAACTTCATTCAACACTAAAACGGATTTAGCCTAGTATGTTTTTAAATAAACTACAAGAAGAATAACAGGAAAATATCATTTGGATCATGATAGAATGCAAAAGATGTCGATCTTCAATTCCAAGGCTGAATTCTTTAGTATCTTGATGTAATTGACTTTAATTCCTTCCCAGGGTTTGATGTTCTCTCTCAAAAGTGATGAACATGCTTCATGTTCTTGATGAATTTGATGATATTATTGTGTATGAAGAGGCAAGAGAGGGGTTTTCAATGTGTAGTTGTGGTTCTCTATTTATAAATGTTGAATTTAGCTCAAAAAATTGTCCCAAAATTGTTGTCAATAAGAGTTTGAATAAAAAAAAAAAAAAAGAATTTGGCTCATCAGTAGAAAATTTGGCATGGGCGCGCATGCAGGTATAGCTACCGCGCACATGCAGGCATGCTGAATTGCTCTCAGATCAAGAAAATAGGTGCCATGCGAGCAAGCCAAAAATAGCTCACGAATGAGCTCCGATTTGCGCAGTATTGTCACTGAGCAGCTTTCGGTATTTTGATCATAACATTTTCAGATATCAAATTAATTTAAAGTGTATTGGAAAGATAACTTAAAGGGCTACAATTCTTCTAGAGGTATAATTTTTCCAATTCGAACATTTGCTATCTCAAAAATGGGTCTCAAGTTGAGGCTAAAAATCAGGAGCATAACTTCTTCGGATGGAATTTGATATGTGAAAATACTTCAACTATATTTCACCCCGTCGATCTTCAATTGCATCCAATTGATCACATGTGATCCTTAATCATCATTTTACTGAATCAAATACTGAATGATTACACTCTGGTATCCAAACTTTGGATTTCTTTCGGTTTTGCCCATTTACCATTCCTTTCTTCAAATTCCTTCAATTTTCGTTGAGTTCAACCTAAAAAACATATTTAACACATAATTAAGCTATAACTCATCCAAATGACTAACAAATACTGTTACGGGCCTGTGTCAGACCCGCCACCTCACCCCGCCACGTGTCCACGTACGTGGCCCGAGCCACGTGCCGGACGAGGTGATTAAACTAAAAACCGAACTGATTGTACATGCCGAGGTGATTGCACTAAGGACGAACTGAAAACGCGTCAGCG